TTATAATGTATTAATAAACTTTTTGTTACCACTTCCACTTATGACTCTTAAATTTTCTTATGATCTGAGATCAATTATATAAGCAGATAAAAAAATTCTTTAAATTCAATTAATTAAATAATACATAATAATAATAATACATAAAAGAGAACAAAAGTAGTATTGATAAATAATTTAATTTTTACATTTTGGCAAAATATATCTTTTTGTGATAACGTATTTATCAAGATCTTGCAATATAAATTCAGCGACGGGATACTAGAGGACAGTATCGCATCATTAAAATTCCACAACGCAAAATGACAAATCAAGATTCGTCGGATATATTATATTCTATAAAAAACAAAATTTTAAAAATTGTATTCAATCGACCAAAAAAAGGAAACTGCATCAATATTTCTGTAAGTATATTTCGCAAATTTGACCGAAAATTTAATTTTTAGGTTGAGATTAAAACAAACAAAATTTTGTTTTGTAGATGTACAGTAAATTGTCACAGCTCTTGCATGAATCTATTCAAGATAGTAATGTACAGGTAGTTGTTTTAACAGGAACTGGAAAGTTTTTTACTACTGGGAATGATTTTGTTTCAATTATGGCTAATCAAGATCCAAATTTTTCCAGTGTTGAAAACGTAGTCACTAATTTCTCGTAAATATTCATAATATAATTTTAGACTAATTAGAAATCGTACTTCGGAATTAAACGAATCAAATGTTTCAGTAATTTTGTGGAAGCTTTAATTACATACCCCAAGCTGTTAATAGCTATTGTAAATGGTCCTGCAATTGGTATTGGAGCAACTATGCTACCATTATTTGATATGGTATATTGTTCTGATACGGTAATGTTTAATAATTTAATACAAATAATAATATTTTTCAAATTAAACATATAATATATATTTTCTATATTTTTTTACAGGCTTACTTTTACACGCCATTCACTAAATTAGGTGTTGTTGCGGAAGGATGTTCTACATATACATATCCTAAAATATTGGGACAGTCTAAGGTATGTCAAAAACTGATTACTAAATATATAAGCCATAAGTTTATAATGTTTGCACAACTTTTAGGCTGGAGATATGTTGTATCTAGGATATAAAATGAATGCTCGTGAAGCCAAACAGTATGGCTTTGTTAGTGAGGTATATAAGCACAAAAACTTAAATGATGTATGGACATATTTGATGAAAATATCCACACTTTCAGCAGAGGTATTTCCCTCTGATACTTTTTTTTTATATATATAATTTACTAATTACATTATTCAATGCTAATTTTAACGTAATTTGTTTTTATTCGATACTGGCAATT